AATCCGTCCTGCACTGTAAAATCGGAGGTTATCGTTCGGAGTGAATTTCAAAAGTTGGGTAAACAAAATACACACATTACTTATGGATAATTGGATTAAATGTGATTTGTTTAGATTCAACTCTTCCTCTTTTCAAAAGTTGATTTACACAAGGAATTGAGAAAAACGTGAAACTAAAGCCAGCACGAGAAAAACCCCACTTAAAGTATCAATATCACAGACGACAAAACGGTTTAACAGACGTGAAAATTTGTCTCAATTTTATTAAATTTTAATAATTCATTATTTGTACCTTTCAATCAATATATATTTTTACATCAAACAGTCATACTTCGAAGATACTACACTTTGTGAGATGAACTATTGATGTATCAATAAACTCTACATGTTACGGTTCTACACTGAGAGATAGACATCCAGTAAATATATCCCGAAGGGAATCTTGTAGATTGGTTATCGTTTCTATATAATCTAGAAACAATTCCGTCCTAGTCTGATGATGAATTGTGCTATTCAGGGATAAACAAATTGTATGAAACTATTGTCATGATGCGATCTATCATGAATAACATTAATACTTTACTTAAATATAAGATTTTAGGCATAAAGAAAATGTAAATTTAAAACACTGAATTCTTCCTGACTCAATCAGCAAAAACAAAACTTCGATTATAAAAAGAAACAATAAAATATAAACTTGAATAATCACTTGGGTACTAGTTTTTCACCAGGAGATTGTATGTTATAGAGGTACATAGTAATTAAACCAATGCATTCCATGTTATTTATTTACTTTAATTGATTACACATCGGTTTTACTTGAGAGAACGAATGCATATATATATAGGATAAAGACCATTAAAATGCTTACGGATAAAACTAGGAGTTACAGTTATTTAACATTGTGTACAAGTCGAAGGTTTCAATTCTCTATTTTACTTTGAGTCGTAATAGCCACTTGTCATGTCGAAAAATGTCTATCTTAATTTAGTTCCGTGACTTGCAATAACAAGAATATTCTTATATATGGCTTTAGTTGCACTTGTGTATATACTGGTATTATTCTTGGTTTTTCCGTACAAATTGAATTGTATTGTTAGTTTTGATATACATTTATATATATATACAAGTCTAAATTGAAAACAACGTTCAAACATATGATTGCGTGTGAATGCAAAACAAATTTCTTGGTAGAGGGGTCTAAATACAGCACAAACAACATTTTCCAAAAGACAAAAAAAGTGAAAAAGTATAATTTAACAAAACGCATTTGACCAGCAGGCCGAACAACGGATGTTCTTAAACCCTGCTGACTGACATTGGCGATTGCCAAATAAACGGATCACCAGATGTAACAAAATGGATCTTAACTATTAATTTAATACCAAACAGAAAACAATAAACTTGCGGAAAAGATGGTATACCGGAAAAGATGGTATACCGCAAACGAAAGGTGCAAACACTAGTACACCATATCCGGATTTCGACAATTAATGTCTCTTCAGTGATGTTATGAATCGAAACGGTATTTGGAAGGCCATACAATTTACCTCAATTTAGGTTAGACTCTTGAAATTTGAAGAGTCGAGATAGGATGAACGGATCATAGAAACCCAAAGGCATATATAATACAAGCCCAAACGAAAAAATGTAAACAAGTCTAAATTGAAAACATTTATATATATATATATATATATATATAAGTGCCTATAAATAGCAGCACATGACATACAAATCTATGGGAGTGTGGATTAATCAGTACAGAGATTAATTCAATTACACAAATAAAATTATAGATTGCCTAACAATGTAATTTTAACACACTATTTAGTATGTAAATATAAGAATGTTTAAAATATTTACAAAATGATCAAAATAAACGCAATATTTCGCTAGACTAACTAGCTTTATCAAGCGTGCATCTATCCAGGTGAAATCGGATGATGATCTACATCCGATTTCACCTGGATAGATGCACGCTTGATAAAGCTAGTTAGTCTAGCGAAATATTGCGTTTATTTTGATCATTTTGTAAATATTTTAAACATTCTTATATTTACATACTAAATAGTGTGTTAAAATTACATTGTTAGGCAATCTATATATATATATATATAGAGAGAGAGAGAGAGAGAGAGAGAGAGAGAGAGAGATCTTCTAACATTGTTAGGTTAATTTTCTAGGCACTTTATATATACTTCTTCTCAAATTTAGCCCAATAATGTTAAATCTGCTAATTTGTGTTAGCAAATTTTTGTTTTTCCCTTAGCGGGATTCGAAACCTTGTATATATTATATAGAACGTCTAGATAGTAGTTAAACCATCATTCTTATGAGGGTGTCGAATCGTTATGGAGAACGATACTGTTCACGGTAAATAAATAGAATATACGTCTAAAAAAGTGTACAACAACACCGAACAATGATAATTTATAAACAAATATAAAACAAAAAATACAAAATCCAATAAATATTCGGATAACATATATTCTTCATCAGTATGAGCAGCCTGGTGTAAAATTGCGTCACTAGCTATGATAATTTTCACAAATCTTGAAAATCGTTTGTAGAAAAGTTTAAGTTACAATTTGAAAATTTTGAATTTCATTCACATTATTTAAAAACCAAAAGATGGAAGGTTAAAAGTACTTGTTTTAATAGATGGTTTGGTATTTTTAACAAAATACAGGTGACATTTTTTCGCAGCTGTTACGGTTTTCCCTCAATTTTTATTTTCATTATTTTTTTGGGGGAAGGGGCTTTCTTGGGGCTGCACATTGATAGCTAAAGCAGCAAATATGAAATATAAATTAAAGAATAGCAAAATAAGTAAAAAAAATATCAGAAAACATAGATAAAGAACAAATATCGCCCCACGTCATATGTTACAATAATAACCCGGAACTTGACCAGTAAAAATAGTTTCAGTCCTCCGGACTAGATAATTGTTTGCACAAAAAATTAAGTCGCATTGAAGACAACAACGATTAGATTTGCTTGTTAATTCAAGCATCATGCTTACACAATTTAACTCATGGAAATATCATTCAAGTACCATATGAATCCGATCATTTAAGTGTAAAAATTAACAGTGACGTTTTTTGAAATCAAAAATCGCAGCTCGTAATTTCAAGATAATGAGAAATAACTACATATATACAGGTTATGGAAAGTAACTAAGGTTTTGTTGATGTAGACTATTAAAAAAGAGTTGCCGGGTATATGTCAATGCGACATATTACCCAAGCGACATAAAAAAACAAAATGACATCTAAACATTCTTTCATGACCGACAAAATACACAGAAAAAGAAAATGCACATAAAAACAGTCCAATTGAAAAGTTAATAATTTAGACTCATCTGTCCCGTTTGTTTGAAGTTAGAATGGGACGGATCACAACAATCAAGTTGGATCATACAAACACCGCGTCTTTCGTGTGGTACTTGTTGACTTGTCGACTGGGTTAGCCTAAAGTTTTTCTTTTTTTTTTTGGTTCAGTTGTATTTTTCTCGTTGAAAAAAGTAACTTATATTTTCTTCCAAGATACACAGAGTAACTTTAGTTCAAACGTTTATATTTTTATTTGACATTTAGTATTACTAAAATGAAGGAGTTAATTCCTGTCAATGTGGTCTATTTACGGTTGAAATTAATATTTTGATTTGCGGACGCCCATTTGAGTCAACGCTGCATGATTTGTTTTTTCATTTTTCATGCCGAACTATTTCCAAAATATCATAGTTCTCCTGCCCCCTAATCTTAACTGAATGATCATCCCCTAACAATTTAAGTTTGTAATTATGCTTTACTTTCTTTTTCTTCGGTTTCCGTAGCTATTGTTCAATAAATATTCATGAATAAAATGATATTAGTTCAACATAAACCTGTAACAGTGCAATCATACTAATTTTTTAAAGTGTGACTATATATGTTTTTTGAAAATGTTTTTTAAATACAATATGAATGTATATAGCCGTTTTTGAAGTAGATCTATTAGAATAAAGAAAAACTTATTTATACTTAAAATATTTGAAAGTTTCAGAAAAATCAACATTCAGTGTAGAATATGTACCCTTTGTATGTCCCTCGATATAATTCAAGCTAGTTGACCGTAAAACAACACACGGGAACCCGAGATGAATGGTCAAGTGAATTTACGATATCCATGCAGTTTATGTGTTCATTCTATAAGAGATGCACAGTAAGTGCATATCGGAATATCAATTTCTAACGGTATATTTAATCTTTATGTACAATGCATAACAAGGGATAATAGGAATCTACAAAAATACCGCAAAATACAGATCACAACAACCACCAACTCCTCCGAAAAACACATACAAATGAAGAAAAATAACAAACAACAAATGGTCTAGATAACCTGACTTAGTACATGCATACATCGTGGACGTGTGCACAAAACTCACCCTTTGATTATCTATAGCATATGTCGTTTAACTTAAACACAATATACAAATTTAATCATCATAAATACAATTATGTATGATTTTTTTGATTTTTGCTTAGTGACGTTGTTATTCATTCATTTATATATTTGTTTTAGATAAATTATTTACTTATTTTTTGCTTTTTATTTTGTTTTTACTAAATCCACTCAATTAATTATTTGTATATGCAACACAGCTAAACGACATTATCCGCGGCTAAAATATTAAGAGTCATTGTTATTTCAACCATGAAGAGAATATATTTCTATATGCAGCAAAACATTTACTGAACATTTCAAGTTCGAACAAATGAAAAAAATTATTAAGAGTCATTGTTATTTCAACTATAAAGAGAATATATTTCTATATGTAGCAAAACATTTTTCTGAACATTTCAAGTTCGAACAAATGAAAAAAATACAATAAGGTTATCAAAAGTTTCCATCATGTTAGTGTTTAGCTACAAGAAAAACAGAAATAAATATTTCCGGCAAACAAAAGAAGCAAACAAATAATATCATAAACACAAAGTGACTACAGTAAAACTTACCATTTAACTTTATATGTATAGTCCTTATCGACTGAATATTAGTTGTTTATGTAACTTTTATGATAAAATCAGATATTTTTCAATATATGAACAATATGATCATGAAATGATACTGTTATAGAACTAAGCTATAAATCACTCTATTGATTTAATAATTGTCCTTCTAATTGAATTCGTGTCTATTATCAGTCATAGTGTGACAGCATGCAAAGGAACCACGCACCACAGCAACAAACCACATGTCGAACACTGACGCGTAAAATGAAGTATTGTTTTTTTTTAATTTCTCACTGTCATAAAATAACCATTCATCATGGCTTACTAGTTCTGATTGGGACAATTTGAAAAACATTGTTTCAGTCAGCATTTCTCTTCAGTTGTCATTTTTCATTAAAAGAAAGCATTGATTTAAGGAATGTCATCAAGAACATATCACGTCAATCCGGACGTAAGACACAGCATTAGTTCAATCTTGAAATAATATTTTATAATAAAAATAGAATATCTGTATATCAGAATTTGTTATAGAATTACTGTCAAATTATCAATTAAACATTTTGTCCACGTAAAGTACTCTTGAGACATATTGTTTTTTTTTTTAATGAAATGTAAAAAAAATGTGTTTTTACTGAAGCTATAAGGTCAATGTATGAGAAGTTAAGATCTTTGTTGCATATTGTAAGGTTCATTTAACCTACATCTCACTTTCTTCATATTGATTCAGATGCCCGTTGAATCTGACTAAAGTGACGTTTGTATTGAGGCGACAGTAGTTTACCGATGTTCAAATCTCATAAATTGATTAAGAAGAGACAAATCAACGGTACCGAACAAAAACTGAAGGAATTACATGAACTTAAAAAGGAGCCATACCGGCTGTGTCGACAGGGTTTAAAGCGCCTCCTACAATGCATCAGTCTCCATGTGAATCCACATTCAGTCAAAAGTTCACAATCCGGAATAAGAAATAATCGGTAAAATTACAGATCAGACAACTATACTGGTATCTCAAGATCGAAGACCACGAAAACATGTCATGTCTCTAGTGAGTTGAGACACCGACACATCGTATCGGTCAACCAATTCGTGATGGTGACCGTAAAACTTATGTAGACGTGTCAATTACAGTCGTTCTTCCTCATAACTCAGTTGGAATAGTTTTGTGTAAGGAGCACACACTGTTGAAGAAATCCATTAAGGTTATACTTGCACGAGCGTAATAAATTAACTGAGATATTTAAATGCCATATGACGGAGCAGAAAGTTTGTTATTGCTGGCAAATGGGGAGTTAACAATTGGAAAGTTGAAATCATCATGATTGTCATAAATTATAGTTTGAAGTCGTCCATCTGTGTCAATATCGGTAGGATTCTTAATATCAATTTCAATGGGATAATTGAGCTGTAAGCACTCATTGAAATGTGGGTGATTGAGTGACATGACATCATCAATATATATACTAGTCAACAAAAGAAACGATACAATGCAATGTATTTTACATATAAAGTGAAATTGGAGACACTTTACCAAGGTAAATAATTGCCCAATTGGTCTAATAATCACAGAGTGTTATTTTCTTATCAAAACCATTGATTTAAGGCAAATACGCGAATTGTTTTTTCTTTCATTTTTTGTTATTTCAAAAATCGTATTTTCACTCAAAAATAAAAAAATCGATATTAGACTTAAACCTTTAAACTTAAACATGGTCTGCTTAAAATTTTGAATGCTTTTGCAGATATTTGAATACTTAATTCTCATCTTCGAAATTAAGTGCCGATTTTTGTCATCATTTTCCGCAAAATAAATTTTACCCCTGTGTTCAACAACACGGTATTATCTCACTTTCTAATATGGTCAGATTCTTTTAATTATATGCATTTTCTTTGCAAATGAATGTTTTTCATTATATAATTTAACAGTTTTTCCTATTTATTATATTTAATGATAAATTGGAGTTCAAACCTGTGTATCGTAACTTTTGATGATTAGTATATATGAAAGTGAAATTAAACATGTTCTTGGTTTTTAATACTGATAACGTGGTGCACAATTTCAAAATGTTTTTTTTCTTTTTATCTCTGAGAAGGTTCTGGATAAAATTTGAGTCATCTGATTATAAAACAATAAAACAAATCGGCCAGTAGTAGTGCACAATTTAGTTTCCATTGGATTACCGACTGTCTGCTGATATATTAATCCACCAAAATCAACAAACATGTTGTCGTTCAAAACAATTATAGGGTAAAATATGTAAAATGTAGAGTTATTAACATCTAAAAGATAATTACTCTTCATCAGTCTTGCCTTTGAGTTGAAGAACAGTAGTAAAAGCGCTATTGTTTTTTATCATGCAATGATTTCTTGTCATGAATTGATATACCATAGATATTATTTTGCATTATAATAGGTTAGACAGATTTTTGTTGTGTAAATAATAAACAAGATAACCAAGATAACTAGCAAACAATCGCTTTTTTGACAAATATTTGTTTAAAGAGATTCGTTCAAGAGCCTATATACGAATGACTCACAATCGGAATAAATAGTTACTCGTTTTAGATCCTAATATGGTTAGATCATGGATAGATATTGCTATTTTGTGTGTTCAACACCTTAATTAATTCATTGCTTATTTTCCTGGTCAATCTTTTAATAGCCGAACTTTACTTGGTTTTTATCATTTAACCGAGGCAGAAAACTGTGTCATGAAAATCCGAAGTAAGAAGGAAAACATACCAAAAAGAAATTAGACCTCAAGAAAAACAACTGTTTACAAAACACTACGCAGAAAACTAAAGATTGTGAAAACAAACCCTTCCTATAACTGGGGTGAACTAAGGTGATGCATAATGGTCAACTGTTCTATAGTACAAAGGGTAGACAAGACCATTTCAGATACTTGCAGCAGTGACATTTAAAAATAATTTTATCACAAATACAACACAGAAAACTAATGCAAAAGGAATCTCTTGACAACTATTTATCAACTTCCGTGCATAAGCAATTACTGCTACACTAAAGGCACATTTTATTTTGCTCACGAGAAGTAAAATTCCGGTAATCTCACAATTAAGGAATGGAAGTGTGACGCAGATATTCCGTATTCGACCAATTGAATGATGATGGCGTCTTCAAAACTGTCGAACAGATAACTTTACCATTATCAACTCTAGTTTCAAAGGCTTTTTCAGCAGCAACCCTCTAGATCTATCTAGAAAATAATGATAGGAAACGAAAGCCCTTTAATATCGTAATAAATTGAAGGTGTATACTACACATGCAGTTACTGCTGAAACATTGCTACATAAAAATAGAAATTTCACAATTGAATAAGTGATCTTTTCAATAGTAAAGCTTACTTCTTAACCGATCCACACTGTCAATTTCTAAATGCAAGTCAAACAAAGAAGCAGACTTAAATATATCTATGGTATCCTTTTAAAATTTAAGTCAGATATATGCGATCAACAATATCACCAAATTATTTACAAGTAGTCAATGAAAGAACATCATGAAATATAACGGAACGTGGATTTATAGTATAATACAAGCTTCTTTTCAGTCTTCTTGAAATCCTGTTTAATGTCTGCCTCGTAAGAAATAAAGGACAATTTCGGTGGTAATAGTAGTAACGCATTTATCTATCTAAAAATACGTTCACCGAACAAAACAACAGTATTGTCAATAAAGAATAGATCTAAAGCATCTTGATGTTTGTTTCATTGAACATTATGTTAGATTTACAAAGAGACCCCGTATAGAAATATGGTCATCATCTCTGGACTTCCCAATCTGACAGTATAACATTTGTCTAAAGGGGGCATCCATTTGATACGTCTTGTCAGAGTAGGAACGTTAGATTCGAGGTTTAGGGAGAGTGCTTTAATCTGTAAACGTAGAATAACCCTTTCAAATACTTTAAGAAGGGTCTAGGGGTGACTTGGTGCAAGGCAACATTTCTGTCTCTTTTCATCATATCTCATTTTCTAGCAGAAGGTCGAAATTTCCGCCCTTCATCCATGTAGACCCTGTATTAAGATGCATGGAATATTTTCAGTTGGACAAACTTTTTTTTTAATACTATTGCTTGAGGCGAGGGAAATATATTGCATGTAGCCCTGATTGGTCTTGGAAATTTTAGAATCCACATTTTATTTGCTCCGCCCACAAAGTAGGCAGCTCCATTGCATTACTGAAAGCCAATTATGTTTGCTGATAAAATAGACCTTAAACATAATAATTTGGAAATGTTTGAAAATTGGTTTTCACGGTGTAGCATTTAGCAAAGAAAAAGAAAAAAATATAACGTTATTTTAAGGACATCTTAAATTGGTATCCGATAGAGAGAAGGGAGACTTATTTCTTTATCTATTGTTGAAATTCCAAAAAAGAATAAAACGGACCTATGATTGTGCAGGATTTCATATATACGTTGTAGTAAGTGCCGTTGGGTTACCAAGTGAATTGTCAATATCTAATTTTCTAATCAAGCAGTTTATACGTGAAAGTAAGTTTTCTTTGCAGGACATATTTGAACACATACATTGTGTAATCTCATTAAAAGAGGGAAAAGCTCATTAAAACCAGCGTCTTTTGATTGCGACTAGTTAAAAATTAAAGAAGATTCGATCAAGGTCGTAAAAGTGTTCTAAAATGTTCTTAAGTATGCAAAATCGTAGACTGATACTAATTGAAATGCTTGTTAACGTAACTTAATTTGTAAATTTGTTGAGGCAGATCATGTCATTAAAATCGTATAAGTCGTAAATAGGTTTTTTAACATATATTTTCTTTTACAACTGATGTAAACTGGTAATTCTCTCTAAGTGAATTCTAAAGCATGACATTTTACTCAATTATCTTCATTTCAAACGTAAAATAATCACCTAAATAACCTTTTGAGCCATGTATATTGACTTAATAGATTGTAATTTAATGGCAGGTAACAATTCCAAAATTGCTTTTCTTGCAGACCCTATATGTTATTAAATTGCAAATTGGTTACTTATCTGAAAATTAAGAGCATACGGGAAACGTTTATATTACGATTTTATGTAAAGAATAGCATGTTATTCTTTAATGTGTTCGAGTTATTATGATATCTTTCAAGTTTACTGCTTAAAGTCAGAGCTAATGAGAGGTGTAATTTGAATACAGGAAAAGCACTTTTGAAAAAGAAAACCGAATCCTAAATAATTATATAATTTTCCTACAAATTGGTAACTTTATAATGAATAT